AATTGCGGCAGCTGTGCAAATGTGAGCCTGGCCATTTGATAGTTGACCATCATTTTGATGGCCCACAAGGCACAAGGCGAAGTGTAGGAAATGGGTCCTGCGGATATCTCTAATGTCGGTCAGAGTGGAGGCACCAAAAAAAAAAAAAAAAAACTAATTGCCAGAAAGTGACTGAAGGAGAAAGTTTTGCATAAATGGCTGCTCGTCTTGGCTTTCATCTCGAACTTCTGCTTCTTGGCCAGAGTGAGAGTGTGTTTGAGTCGTAAAAAATGGCAGTGCTCTGGCATAGCACGTAATGAGATACTTCAAAATGATGTTATTGCTTATTTATAGATCTGCATAAAAGTACAGGAAAGGTGGAGAATTTGAAGCTAAGATTGGTGGTATACCAGGCCCCCCCCCCCATATTTGGCATATGTTTTTGTTGGCCCTTTGCTACATAACCTTTTTTTATGCCTACGTGAATGTCCTCTAGTTTTTTTTTTCGGTCCAACATATTCCTACTGTCACTCTTTTACAGCCGCTCTTGTTTATTAAACTTCATCTGTCTCACACGAAGGTGCACTGTGAAAAATTGTATTATAATGTATTACAATCCACAAAATAAAAAAAAATTATTCTCAAGAAACGACTTAAGTGGTAATCTGAAACTTAAAACCAGTTTATTTTTGCTTAACATGGAGTTAAAAATAAAAATTGTTTAACCTTCACAAGCAAATAAAATCAAAATAAAATTTGTTCTGTTCAATGTTTGTTAACAACAAATCGTTAATGAAAATTGATTCCTAAACAAAATAAATAATAATAGAAAAACAAATTGCTAAGATTTTAATGTTATTTATTTATTTATATTTAAAGAATTATTTTGTATCTGTACATAGAAACAAGAACACATGGAAATACAAAACAACCTATCCATTGTGATGGATGGCATAAATCTTATCTGTTGGCAAATAAAAGCTGCAGCCAGTCGTTATCTCTGTCTCTGTCTCTTTGCCTAACTTTATTTCTTTTCCTCTTTTTATGTCCTTCTCTGTCTATCTGTCTTGCTTTCTCTTTCTTTGGCTGCCTGCTGCTTTATGAATGCCTTAGATTGGCTAATAACTTTCATGGAACTCGTTGAACTTGAGTAATTGCGCTGGCTTTTCACGTTGTTCTCAGGCTGACATTGTTTGATAAAAATAAATTTCATTCATAAAATTATTCATGACCCCGTTGTTTGATTAAAGGCTAGACTGTAGCGAAAATAAATAAAGGAGAAGCAACAAAAATATGCTCTTTTGGGCTATAAAAGATGACTTTATGTCGCTAACTGAACCTTCGCTTTTGCTTTTTTTCTAAAACTACATTTTAATTGAAAGCTAATAACGTAAAATCGTCAGCAGGATCAAAGAGTTAACTTAATGAGCTTCATGTTCCCTTTTACTTTGGCCCTCTCTAGTTACCCATCAACTTCAGCTGCTGGCTCATGAAAAATTAACACACAAATCGCATGAGGCAGACATTTAAAATGCACTTTGTTGCAGCTGCATTGCATAAAATTTTTGCAGAAACAAAAATGGTCAGCGATAAGAACAGCAAAACCAACAACGACTGGGAAATGAAATTAAAAATTGGGAAATTAAGTAGCAACTTGGTGAATACCTCGAAAATAAGAAACAATTTGAAAGCTTAAAAAAAGGAAAATCAATAGATAATCACCTACCGAACCATTTAATGTTAAGAATTAAATAATGGTTTTTACTATTAATAAATTCCTTTGTTTTCATTTATATTATTTTTACACTTTTATTATTTTATTTTGTTTAAATTGGTTTGTTTTATTTTGTTTTTATTTTTAATTTTAACTGAAATTTCTATATTGAACAGTATGCTTTACAGCCTGTAGACTATGGCCAATGGGTATTGGCGTAATGCTTTTTCCTTGACTTGCAGCCGAATCCTTTAAAGTGCATCAATTTTAATGCAAATATGCAGCAAGCAGCATTAACTTTAGCTGTGCTCTTAAAAATTTACATAATTGCTGAAAGTCAGGCGAGTGGCGCCTTTTCCCGACCCCCCCCCCATTTTTATTCACCCCGCATGTGGATGAAAACTTTAATGAAAAACGTCCAGCACTTTGCACAATTAACGATTTTTCATGATTTCCCTCCCGAAACAGCCGCGCTCTGCCCGCAGGCAATTTGCATAAATCAGTGCAAAGTATCTGTGACACATGGAGAGCACGCCTCGTAGGTGGTAGGTGGTTGTAGCTTTTGTAGCTTTTGGTAGCCTGGTCAAATGGAAGGCAGTGGGTGGATGGGTGGGGTTTGGTCGTAAGTGGGTTGCCGCTGAAAAATGTTTACACATTTGCAAATGTCTGAAGGTCAGGGGTGAAGTGGAGGTGGGGGAGCGGACCACCAACGGGCTGTGCGACATGATTTAGGCGTTTGCCCGCTGAGTAATTGTTGTGCGGCGGTTCCGTGGCTCGTTGGCCGTGCAGCTTTAATTTAATTTATGCACCACTACGGCCAAAGGCAGCAACAATAACAATAACAGCAACAGCGGCGGAAGGAGACGCCTCCTTTTCCTCTTACTCCTCTTCCGCCTCCTTGTCAAGGGGCCACTAAGTGGCCGCTTCAGTGAAATTAAATGCACTTTCCCCGGCTGTTGTCGTCGTCATCACAGTTGTTGCAAAGCGATAGCAACGGGGTATCATAGGGTATGCCAGATCTCGGGAATACTTATTGATATTTGCCAAAGTTTTGGTTACCCAAAGGAAAAAACATCATCGTTGCGTTAAAACCAAATATATAATATTCTTTCATAAAATTTAAATATAAGGCGAAAAGTAGTCAATAAAATTAAATTATTGTTATCTAAACTTAAAACTTTTAATTATTTCGAATAAGGTCAATACTTTTAAATGTATTAGTTTAAAATTTTTGATATTAAAATAACACTATAAAAGAAAAAGGAATATTCGTCGGAAATTGAACTACAAAGTTTATGCTTTATATTATTTGTTAGCGATTTAATTATTTTATACTGCATATATGTTATTTTTAAAACAACCTAAGTTTACACTCTACAAAAAAAGGTTCAACATTCTTTAAATGTTTTTATCCAATAATATACGAGCATTGTTATATTTAACACTTAGTATTTTTTAAATTAATTACTAAATTTATTCTCGACTTTTATAAGCGGTTTAAAAATGTTATAGCATTATAATATAGCAATACCAACTCCACGGTACTCACTGTGTGCAAACACTCCCATTCCATCACTATCTCCCATGGCGGCGCTTAAATTATATTACAAGCCATCAAATGGTCGATTCTCGGCCATTAGAAAATAATTTCATTTGCTGTTATTTACGCTGGGCTGCAGCTTGCAGCTGCCACTGAGCTGAATTTATTATTATGGTCGCACAATGTGTTTAGTTTTATGGCCGAAGACGTGGAGTGTTTTTAAGGAGTGCACCGAGAATGCTGCATTCCATGGACTTATTTAATGCGTAATTACAGCGCAAATCTTGTTAAGAAGTCAAAGAATCTGGGCAAAGGATAGAAAGCTTAAAAGCGGAAAAGCGGAAAGGCGAGATAGTTGACCATGAGCATTCTCGAAAAGGCAACACTTTTCCGAGAGTCAAAGGAGCAGTGCTAAGAGGCAGCTTAGTGTTTGCTTCATTGAATTCATAAGCGTCTCGAAAAGTATATCCTAGCGAACTTAAGCGAAAATCCTTAGCTCTGTTGGTGGAAAAACTGCAGCTAGCAACAAATCCCTCACATAAAAAGCTATGGGGTAAACCGAGAATAAGGATTTGCCTAGACTCTCCTCATCCCATCAATGTTGAGTTTTTGTTCAACCTCCAAAGAGGAGAGCGGATCGTCAAAAGTCAATTAACTGCAACACTTGCAACACAACTTCAACTAATTAGCGTGATGCTGCCCCAGGTGAAAATGTGAATGAAAAAGGGGTAGATATATATATAACACCCCCAGGGACCCACAAAACACACAAAAATGTCTAGCATGCCTTTGAGCTTGTGGTAAATAAGAATGCACTTAACGTCTTGTTTTGGATGGGGATGCATATGCATGGGTGTGGAAAATAGAGGGGCTGCGGGAATACCTGACTTTTAGAAGGTGAAAAGTGTGTCATTGTGGGGGAGGTTAGTTTGGGTCAAAAATGACTAACAGGGAATACTGAACATCTACCAAGTTGAATTAAAAAGAAAGGTTATAGCAATAAAAACATTTCCGCAAAGAAATATGGAATGATAAAAATATCACAATTAATTATTGCACAAAAAAATCATATCAATAAAAATAATTTACGGTCCCTGCTTTTTGTTATTGCAAAAAATAAAATATTAATAAATTCATATTTCGACCTAAACAATAGTCATTAATTACTAACTGATCGAAATTTCTGTATACTATGATTAATAAAATTCCATCTTTTCGTATGACGTAGATGTATTTCAGTTCTTGGAAAATTTGACGTTATAAATAACGTCAATAAATAGTGTCAAAGCGATAAGAAAATTATTAAACAAACATATGTGCAGTGCTTCAATTAATCAGAGAACATATGATATTAAATTGTTGCTATCATGATTTATTACAATGTTATTAATGTTGCTACCAATGAAGCTAAATAAATTTGTAATAAATTAAGTTCGGTATCCCTCAGTGCAGTTTAACTATCTTTTTGCTAAATATAGCTTTTCTTTTTCAGTTGAAGCTATAAATAAGTTCATTTCTCTTTTGAAAACTTTAGAGAGCTACTCCATTATCATAGAGTTTCTCTGTGCCACTTCTTTGGTTTATTTTGTCAGCGATTCTGTGGCCAATCATCATCATCATCTGCGTTTAATTAGGCTGTCGCTTGTTAGAGGCGCAGCTTCTTATCTTATCCACGCCCTGGTGAGACATTCGCAACAAGATGTGCTATCAGGTATCGAATGGTGATAGCCACCTGTTGTGGAATGCATCTCCATTTCGACTTTGATTCCCGTTTGGAGTAGATGTGGCGTAAATTTCCACCCGAATGAAGCTGCCATCGAAGGTGGCTAACGTGTGGAAGCGTTTCTTGGCCATGCTGTCGCTACCGGATTTGCTGGGTAATAGTTGTTCTTAGCTCTATTTATTTCCACTCTTACTGTCCATTTGATTTTGCCATTTTCCAGTCCTCGCGTGTTTGTGGGCCAGTGGTTTCTCCCTGGGCTACTATACCAAGTCGGCGTATGTGTACGACAACCTTTGGCCCCATTGGTACACCCTGGTGGGCGGGGTGGTGGCCTTGGCACTGACCTTGGGCTGGACCCTCAGGAAGCACAAGAGGCAGCAGTACAGCTACGATCACTACTACATCATATTCTATGGACTGCTGTGCTCGCTGATGGGAAGTTGCTTCATGCTGACTAAACAGTTGGGTGAGTAATCAGTGGAATTCCTAGTCTGATTAAATAGGTTCTTTTTTTTAAATCAGTAATGAACTGTTTGAAAAATATTAATTACAAAAATTTTTTAAAAACAGTTAAATATCGCCAAGATAAAAAAAATTAAACTAAAAACACATAAACATAAAAAACATAAACAAGTTTTACAATTTATAAGTTTATTGATAAATTCATTGAAAAATGCTTGTATAACTTCACTGTTAAACAGTTAGGTTAGATTTTGAAGTGAACATGGTTTAAAATTGCATTATAGTTAAATCTGATTAATTTTAATCGTCAGCCGTAAGCTATTACTTCATCTTCGTGGGACTGAGTGTGCAGTACTTGGCCGGATTCAGTTATGTGAGCCTGCGTTGCGATGCCTCGGGATCGCGACCATCGAAAATTGCCCTGGCCAACTCATTGTATGCTGGAGGAATGAGCACAGGATTTGTGATATTCAACGAGATGGAACCACAACGTTGTGGATTGATTGCCCTGGGAATTAACCTGCTTTTACTGTGCCTGGTCTGTCTCAACGAGTTGCTGCATCATACTGGTTGCATTAACTACAAGGAATCAAGGGATTTGGTGTTTAATCTCCTGAACGAAGAGAAGATGGTCTTCCTGCCGCGCCAAGCGATTCTGGCCCAGTTTGTGGGCCGAACGGATTACCAACTGAAGGAAAGCAGGCAGTGGTTAGTCCTTATCCTGGGAGGATCATTGGTGTGTTTGCAGAAGAGTTGCCTGCTCTTCTCACCCACCTACATGCAATTGATGTGGAGCAGCACTGTGGGCTATCTGCAGCGAACGCAGTTGTACATACCCTTTGTTCTGTACTCGGCTGGCACCAGTTTCGGAGCCCTGCTCCTGATGAGATACACCCCAAAGCTGGTGTACCTACTCTTCGGACTAATCCAGATGACTTTGCTGGTGGCCTTGCTGTGCATTTACAGTGATGAACAGACGGAGCATTGTTTTTTGTTCCTCTGCCTGATTTATGTAACCATGGGAGTACTTTCGAGTCAGGGAATCCATTGGTTACTGGAGTGCTCACCCTTTCTGTACACCGAACTGAACCTGGCCATTGGATTCATACTGCAACTGGTCGTCCTCGAGGGCTGTAAATACGAGTCCTACGCCACGGATAATTGGATAGCTCTTCTGAGCGCCAGTGTGGTGACACTCGGGTTCACGGCACTGGCCATTCCGGTGGTGCAGTGGCTCCAGCCGCACTCCGCCAGTCTGGTGGACATTCGCAACCGCTTGCTGGGCATCCGTCGGCAATCGCTGCCCCCGGAACAGACCCAATTCTGGCACACCAACCACTTTCTGGCCCACAACAAACCCGCTAATCAGATGGAGTCCGTGCAGCTGGGCCGGAGTCGGGTGTTCCAGCAGTATCCCATCAGCGGGAGCGACATCACCGACATCATCGACAACCACCCAAAAAACAAAAACAAGTTCTGATAATAAAGTGCTGCACTTTAAACTCCCACTTGCTTGTCTTTTATACAGCCCCCAATCATTACTCAATCTCAGTGGCATTGTCAATGGGTTTTCTCCATTATTTATCTTCATCGTCGTTGGTATACACTTAAACAGAGAAAAAAAATAGTTCACTGCTTATTGTGATAAAATTCATACAAATATATACATAAATTGAAAGTTTAAACTTAATGTTCACAGGGCAACAAACTTGTCTCATTTTTTCCAATGTAAAAATGTAAAATTAAATTCATATAAAATATTTATAAATATATATGAAAAAGTCGAGGTTATAGTTGGTTATAAATTTCAGTGTACTTTGCTACGCCGTATAAAAACAGAGCTAAAAAATCTCCAAAGAAGCAAAAGAGTACATTTTTGAGTGTGTCTCTTGACACAGCATATTTTGTGCATTTGTATAACATAAATTTGCACAAAATATGTTCAAATAACCCCTTTAAAAATAAGGCAATATAAAATCGATATTAATCAAAATATATCCATTTTAGTATTTACTTTTGAATTATCATTTTGATTACCTGCTGAATATTGCCTGTCAATTTAAAAGTAATTGTTTTCTCTGTCCAAGTTTCTTTATTGTACTGGATTTCAGAAATTTCTGATAGAAAACCACAAGTACACTAAATTCCTTTTCCATTATAGTAATACCTTAGCTTCAGATAACTAAAAACAAAACAAATACACTCTAATTCCGTTGGAAACAGAATTTGCCACAAAGCCTTTCTTAATTATTCCATAAAAAAGGCAAAAGCTTGCAGCAGCAGCTAAGAAATCCGTTGCCTGTATAATAAGCCTTTCCCGAAGACTATTAATTATTTATGAACCGGCATTATGACTGCCACAACTCAAAAGAAATTAAATCTTCCTGAAAGGAAAAAAATGCTTCAAAATACCATACTTTTGTGCTGCCGGGCAACGTTAATGATTTTTATTGATTTTTAAGCAAATTAAATTGTGCGTTAACCGCAAACGGAATTTATCATAAAGTCGCTTTATCAGTCGACTTCCCTTCCTTAGCCCGAAACATTTTTATTGCCAAAACATTAAACATTTATATCCGCTATCAATTTCGTAACGACTGGAAGAGCGTAATCGCATCTCTTCTGTTGCTGGATGAAATTTGCCGGTTCTACCTAATTTAATTTACGTATAGAAGCGTAGAGCCCAAAAACCGGAGCAGCCGGAGCAGTTGTAGCAGTTTTAGCAGCGCCGCAACGTGCAATGGCAATAAAAGCGTTAAATTTGTTTATTTTTTCAGGCCTCGCCGGTCCGCAGGGTATCCTGCCCCGCAGGACTTCCCCTTTTCCCCTTTTTCGAGAGTCTGCCATTGGGCTTTTGGGTTCGATTTCAGTGTTTTTCCATCCGCTCTCCTGTTTAGAGTGTGGCATACCTTCCTGCCCCGCTGGAAATCCTCCCAAACACACATACACACACACACGTATTCACTATATATGTATATACGGCTCCTAGCGCTGGCACTCCAAAATTCCTTTGTTTTTGCCTTACCATTGTTTTTAAGTGGATGCCAGGGCACATCCTTTGTTGTTGCTGCTGCTGCAGCATCGGGAGTGCCGATCCAATGCCCTTATCACTAATGAAGTGGCCAATGAACTGTAGCCCCAAAGATTAAAGCGAAATTAAATGGCTAACCGAAAATTGATTGATCGAAAAAGGTGCGCACAACCCAAAATAAGAGAACACAAAAAATGCGACCAGAGAAAATAAATGAGAAAAATTATTTAAACCGATTTAGGTTGCTGCGGTTAGCAGCAGTTCAATATGTTGTGCGGTTTTGGAGGGGAAAACGAGATAAAAAGGTGTACGCATTTCACCAAAAAAGAATTACATTTTAAATTGGTTTATAGTATGGGACAAGTCGCATTAAGTGGCAAAGAAATATACTACAATATTCTAGCAAGGAGCATAGGTAAATATATTAATGAAGGGAGGTGCCAAAGAAATCAATGGAGTTTTGAAATCTTGACTTATAAAGGTGTAACACATTAATTTTTCTCCCAAAAAAAAAATTCGTTGTAAATTAAACAAAAACGTTTATTTTATTTAAATTTTATTACTCTTAAGAACATACAAATTAATTTTAAATTATGTTTGCTTCTTAACAGAACTCCTAGGAAAATATTTGAAATTTTCTATAAAATTTGTCTATAACATTAAGGCTTTAATGAAGCATCACATGGGCATCCAAAAATCATTATTTATCTTTCGCATTTAAAACTTTCTGATTGCGCTGCTGACTGAACCTTAGAGATGCTGGCAACAGCTAAAGGTTACTTTTTCTCTTCCTTCGCTTGACATTTTCGGAGTCCTCCACGGCTAGCTTGAAATCCTTGACCACTTCGGGCAGGGATTCATCGGCCTCGTCCACTGTCCAAGTTTCCAGGAGCGGCGGTCGATGGTGCATAATAAATGGATTGATGATGGCGGCCACTCCATCGGCATTGTTTAAGTGAACATGATGGGTGCCCTGCACTTCGTGGAGTTCAAAGTGCGGATTGTTCTCCCTGAGAATGCCGATGACCTCGTCACTTTGCTCGTCTATAAAGTTCGACTCGGAGCCCTTGATCACGCAGTAGGGAACATTTTTGATGGTTCTGGCCAATTCCGCGGCAAAGGGAGGACTGGTATGAAATTCTGTGTAATATTTGCAGCGGCCATCGCGTGAGAAGAAAAACTTGGCTGGAAACTTAGTGGATCGGCTGATGTTGCGCTCCAGAATGTGATGGCAGTTCTCCAGATCCACCGAATATTCGGAACCCTTGTGCATGACCTGCTCTAACTCCGAGTAGGTATAGGCCGGTGGTTCCTGCCGCTTGGCATTCGCAAAACGCTCATCCTCCACCATATAACCTTCGATATTATTTCGCAGGTAGTCGATGTGCGATGCGGGTTTTCTATACCGTGTCTTCACTATATCTATGCTGACCAGCAGGTCGGTGCGATGCGGATATAGCGAGGCGAATATGAAGCACAACATGGCGCTCATCGAGTGGGCCATCAAGGACACCTTCTGCCAGCCGTACTCCTCCATTACGCGCAGGATCACGCACAGGTAGTCCACGAAATGGTAGGCGATCCCCTCCGGCAGCTTCGAGGAGTACCCGTGGCCGGGCAAATCGATGCACAGCACTCCCAGGTGCTTCGGCAGCAGCGGCAGCAATTTGTCCCACGTGCCCAGGTTGTCCAGCCAGCCGTGCAGCGCCAGGATGGGTCGCACCTGCCGGCTGCCGTACCACCTGCCCACCACGTAGCCCCACGGCATGTCGATGCGCACGTCCATGGGCTCCTGAAATGCACAACGAAAAGTGTTTCATACAGATTTTTGTAACACATTCAAAGAATAGTTTTCTGCATGGCTTTTTTTTTTACCAAAATTATAAATCTAAATATTTGAAACCAAAGCAAAAACCAATAGAAGGCAGTTTTTTAATACCACAATTTTATTCAAAACTTTTAAAGAGTAGTTTCTTTTTTCCACTCGAGAAGGATAATATTTCAAAGATAATATTTAATTAAATTTTCAAAATAAAAAAAGCTTCAGATATTTTTTATATAAACAAAAAATATAAAGTCTCAAAATAATATATAATATAATATAATATAAAATTAATAGGTTTTATATATCTTTTTTATTTCTTACTCAACTTAATTAGAAAAACCTAATTAGACAAACTCATCCATCCAAAAATTTAATAACATTTTTAAAAAGACCCATAAGACTTTTTTAATATGAGAAAATTAGCAATTGGTATACACTTAATTCAAAAAGTATTTAGCAATCTAGATTTAGCATTAACTTTATCAATTATTTCCAGTGAAGGAAAGGGACGAGAACGAGTTGCAGAAATGCGAAAAAGTTGGTTTCTAAAGAAGAGTGCATAGGGGCGAGGAGGGTTTGTCCTGCTTGTTAGCTGTTAATTGCCAGTGGGTAGCTTTGTAGCTGCTTTCGGCCTGCTTGTCCACCAAGTTGGTTTAGTTGGGTTTTCGGTTTAGCGGAGGCTGAAAATTCGCCTATGGCATTTCCCAATGTCCATTTTGCCATGGCTATTTCCTATGTGGCTACTATACCCTAAACTACTCAAGGCGGAAAAGGCAACTTATGCTTAATATTCTCAATGAGTACTAAATTCTTTACTTTATAGAACAAGTTTAAACATACAGCAACTAATTTGGTTCTGATTTCAATTTATATATTGCAAATATAAAAAAAAACATATATATACATAGTATTTTTTGATATACATCTAGTAAGCTGGCATAATCATATATATGTTTCGTAAATAAAGTGCAGAGCGAATTCTTCAGTTCACTTTGGAGACTTGTGTCATATGGCCATATCCATTTATCTCATCTGATGCGTTCTGGTGCGTGTTACCCTATCCTCGAACGATTTGATCAATTGGTTTGGGCGAAAAAGTTGAAGTGGTTGACAACTGAGCGAGTTTTTCGGAGTGGGAGGCTGGGACACCAGGTGTGTCATCCTGGTGTCCAGGTGTCCAGGTGTCAAGTGATGGACAGGGGGCCCCGCAGTGCCACGAGCTACCGATGGAACAATTTATCATCTAGTTTTTCCTTTGTTTGGGCTTCAATCGATAAGCGATTGTGTATCCACATCCATCCACTGCAATTGACTGATGCTGCACATGCAAACTCCCAAAAAGTACCAACAAATGGATTTTCGTAGTTTGCCACCGCAGGAAAAACTTTGCCGACTCTCTCCGATTACTACGGTCGCTCAACTTGAAAATTAGCGCCGAGCACTTTCGAGTGCAACGACACTTTTCTGAAGGGAATGGATATACAAAAAAGGGAAGGATGGGATAGAAGGCAAAACTTTTACAACACCCCAACGACAGTTTGATGAACTCCTAATGAGCTCGATAATCGAAGAATAGCCAATTTGAAAGCATTAGAACACACAGAAAAAAAGTTTGTTATGATATCCAGGGTTTTAATATCAAAATCCAATGT